AAAAAAAGCACAACCAATTTTAGAAGCTACTGTGTGTAGTTACAGACTGTATTTATTCTAATCATATACATTCTATTTTTTTAATCAGTTAATAAAAGCCATTTTTTAAGAAACCTCACCCTTTTCCGTAGCTTTCTGAAAAGGGGCCTGAGATAGGACTCGGTCTGTTTCTGAGTAGCGCTGTTCAGTTTACCCTGCACACTGCGTTTCACATAATCTTCTCTGGCATTCAATTCTTTAGCCCAAACACCAAGAAGGAACTATTGAAAAAATGGGTAAATTTAGACTATGATGCCACCCAGTGGTTCGACAAGTTTAAAAGTTCTCTAACACAAAACAGCATACTATCATCCTTAAATTTCTTGACTGATTAAAATATCATTCACTAATAATTAACGAACTATTCCTGCTTATTCTGTCATGTATGTTTTGAAGTAGTATCTTTGGCAAGTCACTTCCCTATTCTATATATATCCCTAGCTCAAATATAACCCATTTTCTTGTAAAAGAATTATCAAATTACATGGATAACTATTTGATAGAAATAAACTTTTACCTGTATTTCTATTACATAAAATTCAACCCACTTAGATTATCAGCCATAATTAATATATGCTGTGATATTTAATCAATCTTCCAAGTATGTTGTAATATTTGGACTTTCTCCTTTTGTGGTAACGACTACAATTAATAATTCCCACTAAAGCGCCTGACTAAAGGAGGGGGAAAAAAAGGAAGAAAAAAAGAAAAGAAACTACGCCTATCTAGTTTCAACTCATATCCTCAACAGATTTAGAATCTTGAAGACTCATATGTTGTATTTAAACTGTAAATACAAGTAAAAGCATTTCTTGCATTTAAATCTCTTGGCCTGAACAAAAATAATTTTTGAATAAATGCTAAAATGAATCTGGGATATGCACACACTCTACGATAGCCACCAAACAGAGAAATCTAAGAAGATAAAATGAGCATATCATAGCAAGAATAAGCAGCTCTCTGTAGAACTGAGAAAATGAACGTGTCTGAAAGGTTACTGATGTGTTTGCGTTTTTCACTGCCAATGTCTTCCCACCTCCTTCCTTTCCTTACTGTCATCAACTCTCATAAAAGCTTCTGGAACCCTCTCCACATTGCACTCCTTCCTAGAGTGTTTGAAAAAAAATTAAAACTCCCCAAACTTCTTCATTCCACTGCTGTGATTCTTTTGTGTGATTACATTACTAAGTCAGCTTTAAAGAAAAGTAGCACAAGCAATGTAAATATAGTCTTTGATTAACCTCTATTTCCAAGTACACAGCAAAATCATAGTGTACATGCCAGAAATGGTTACTGAGCTTCCCCTTCCCCGTCTCTAACCCTTGATGATCCAAAAATAAAAGAACAGTTATTAACCACCCAACAGCCCCAAAGTCAAAGTACATACCTTAAGGAATTTGGTAATGATGTCCATGTCTTTGTGATCATCACCTTTTCCCAAAGACTCTCCCAAAGCCTGAAGAGAAATAATGTCCCTGCTCATCAGTAAAGAGCAAAAAGTGAAGACACGCGCCACCCCACCAGTCTCTGCTCGGCTCCTTACTACCCAGACTGTCTGATTTCTATTTTAAAACCTGGTGGAATTTCTAGTAAGTTAAAAAAACCCAACAATTAGCCATTTAAAATTAGAAAGCTGGTTAGCTTTTATGAATCAAAAGACAGGAGAAGAGGTAAGAGGAGTGACTACTAATGGGTATGGAATTTCTTTTTAAGGGAACAAAAATTAGATTATGATAATGACAGCACCACCCCATGAATACTAAAAACCACTGAAGTGTACACTTTGAATTGCTAAATGTAAGTATGTGAATTTCTCAGTAAAGCTATTAAAAACAAAAACGGAAAAAGGAAAGAGAAGCCCAGAACAGGTTGCTCACACCAATTATTCCAATAATATTTAGGGTCCTTCAATAGGGGTTGGGATGGAGGAGGGTGCAAGTAAAAGGACATCCTCTTTAACTGTGATCTCACTCAGAGAAGACTACAACATGTGCAAGAGCCTAGAATGAAACAAAAAGCTAACAATTTACATTTTATTAAGTATTAAGAGCTTTAGAGTAAGCCATAATTTTTGCTTGAGCTACATAGTTAGATGATACAACACTATTTTTTAATTAACACTACAGACATCATACTACATTCAACATACTGGCAAAATTATAAAGTTAAAGACTGCCAAGCGCTGACAGGGATGTAGGGATACAAGACACTCACACTACTGGTGGGGTGCAGACTGGTACAGTCATACTGGAGAACAACTTAGTTTAGATGTACATAAGGCATCAAGGATGGATAATAAAAACAGTTCGAAGTGTAATGACCAAAGACAACAGTGTGCTCTGAACTGAACAATATAATAAACTCAACCATCCACTCCAAGGAATAAAAGATGTGACAGGAATGAGGTAAGGTAAGTGCAGAGATTACCTCTAACTCTTCAATAGTGGTGTTTTCTTCATGAACTTTCAAATCATTCTGTGTGTCTTCCTCTCCAGGTTCTTGACCACCCACAAGTTCATTGAGGTACTGCTGATCAATCTTATCCAAAGCTGCTTTCAGATCATTTCTCAATCCCTGAGAAAGGTGAAAAATTATACCTACTATGAAAATAACTGATGTTTCACTTTTGTTTTTCACTAATAGTACAATTTATCTTGGACTTCCACTTAAGATGGCGAAGTAGGCAAACCCTGTGCTTGCTTCCTTCCATGACCATATCAAAATTACAACGAAATTACAGAACAATCATCACTGAGAACCACCTGAGGACTACCCGAACAGCAGTCCTATAACTACAGAAAAGCCATGCTGAGACCACTAGCGGGGTGGAGATGTGGAACGGGCAAGTCCCACACCAATAGAATATTACTCAGCCATAAAAAAAGAATGAAAGCTTACCATTTGCAACAAAATGTGTGGACCTAGAGAGTATTATGCTAAGTGAAGTAAGTCAGAAAGAGAAACACCATATAATTTCACTTATATGCAGAATCTAAAAAAAACAGACGAACAAAACTCAGACACAGAGAACAAAGTGAGATCACCAGATGCAAGGGGGGTCGGGAGGATGGGTAAAAAGTGACAGGATTAAGAACAAAATTCCAGTTACAAAAACAGCCATAGGAATGTAAAGCACAACATAGGGAATATAGTCAGTGACACTGCAATAACTCTGTAGGGTGTCAGATGCATTCTAGACTTACAAGGGTGATCACCTCATAAGGGTATGTAAATGTCTAATCACTATGTTGCACACCTGCAACTAATATTGTATGTCAACTGTAATTGAAAAATAAATTTTATTTAAAAGTATAATTCATTTTCCCCACAAGGAATTGAGCTTAGAAAAACCAGAGACTCAAATCAGATGTCAATTTATTACACAGCTATCATCACTGTCCAAAGTTAATTTTATGAATACATTTAAAATTTAAATAATATACATACATTAGCTATTCTGATGGCAGAAGAATACAACATATGAGTGACGAATCCAAATAAGAATAGTCATAAATGCTGCTGTCTTCTAATAAAGCCTAGTAAAAGTTGACCAGGTTTCCACTGCAGACTCCAAACATTTTCCCAGTTCACTTAAAATATCTAAACTTACTGCAACTATCCTGAACTCCCAAAACATTTAGAAATGTCAAAAGTATAAAACTAGTGCCTCATCTATATCCTAGGCTAGCACTACATTTCTAACACCAGCAAATTCCACACTCTATTCACATCCAGTTTGTGACCATTCCTGTAAAAATGGAAGCCTTAACACTGGACCCTTAGCTTACACCATATATAAGAATTAACTCAAAATAGATCAAAGACCTAAATATAAGAGAACTATAAAACTTAGAAGAAAACGGGGGAGTTTCATGACATTAAATTTGGCAATGACTTCTTGGATATAACAGAAAAAGCACAGATAATGATAACAAAATAAGTAAGTTGGACTAAACCAAAATTTAAAACTTTTGTGCATCTAAGACACTATCAATAGAGTGAAAGATGATTCATGGAAAAGGAGAAAATATTTGCAAATCCAATATCTGGACCTCCTACAATTTAACAACAACAAAAAACAACCAATGTGATTAAAAATGGATAAAGGACTTGAATAGAAGAAGACATACAAATGGCCAATAAGCAATTGAAAAGATACGGAACATCACTAGTCAGAAGGGACATAAAAATCAAAACTACAATGAGATATCACTTCGCACCCATTAGGATGGCTATTATTCAAAAAAAAAAAAAAAAAAAATCCAGAAAACAAGTGAAAGCTAGAATGTGAAGAAATGGAACCCTTATGCACTGACAATGTAAAATGGTGGATCTGCTGTGGAAACTGCTGACAACCCTCAAAGTTAAACATACCCACACCAAGACGCACTAACGTATGCTAAAAATGTTAAAAAGTTAAAGACAAGTAGAGATTCTTAAAAGGAGAAAGAGAACAATAAGGTTATGTACAATGGAACTCACATAATACTATCAGCAGATTTTCAGCAGAAACTTTGCAGACCAGAAGGGAGTGGCATGATATATTCGAAGCGGTGAAAGAAAAAACTTCTAACTAAGAATACTCTACTTGGCAAAGTTATAATTCAGAATTAAAGAAGAGTTTTCCAAAAAAAGCAAAAACTAACAGAGTTCATCACCACTAAAGCAGCCTTACAGGAAATGTTGAAAGGACTTTATGCTGGAAAAAAAAGGATGCTAATTAGTAACAAGAAAACCTATGAAAGTATAACTCTCGCTGATAAACGCAAATCTATAGTAAAGGTAGTGAATTAATCACTTATAAAGCTAATGTGAAGATTAAGACAAAAGTAGTAAAAATAATTATAACTACAATAATTAGTTAAAGGATACACAAGATAAGATGTAAAACGTAACATCAAAAACATAAAATGTGGGCGGGGTAGTAAAAATGTAGAGCTTTAAAATGTGTTCAAACTTAAGCTGTCATCGACTTAAAACAGACTGTTCCACTTATCAAACAAGGCATGGAAATGGAATGTATAGCACGGTGACTGGAGTGAATAAGACCGTCTTGCATATTTGAAATTAAGTTGCTAAGAGAATAAATCTTAAAAGTCCTTATCACAAGAAAAAATTTTTTAACTATGTATGGTGATGGACGTTAACTAGACTTACTATGGTGATTATTTTGCAATATATACAAATATTGAATCATGCTGAAACTAATATACAGCAATATATATTAGTATACTAATATACTGTTATATGTCAATTACACTTGAATTTTTAAAAATATACAAACAGGAAATTCTGTATCATGTGATACAGGCTTGAGTAGAGCAGATTGTAATAAATGAACATTAAAAGCTAGATGATTTTTCAAGTAATGAAACATTAGTAGAAAAATTAAATTGGATAATAAAAATTTAATAGTTCACATTAGTATTGTATCCTATCTTTTGATAAGGAAAATGACTCAGGATATAGAAGAGAAATAAATGATAATATGAAGCATTACAAAAATTACTCTTTCCAAGATTTAGGTTAAGAAAGAGAAAAGACTAAAAATAAAGAAAAACAAATTGCTGTTAACATTAATATAAATGAAGAAAATTTTAAAAATTCATTTGTGCTTTGGAAAAAAATTGTTAGACAAAGAATCACTACATAATCCAGCAATTCCACTTCTGGGTAGATACACAAAAATAGTGAAAGCAGGGACTCAAAGAGATACTCGTACACCCATGTTCATAGCAGCATTATTCACAATAGCCAAAAGGTAGAAACAATGCAAACGTCCATCAAGGATGAACGGATAAAGAAAATGGGGTTCATACATAAAATAGAATATCCAGTCTTAAAAAACAAGGAAATTCTGACACATGCTACAACATGGATGAACCTTCAAGGTATTGTGCTAAGTTAGAAGGCCAGTCCAAGAGAGCCTTCAGTGACCTCAGCCATAGCCCTCACCCGACTACAATAGCATGCAAGATCCCAAGTAAAAAACTGCCTAGCTTAGCCCAATCAAACCACAGAACTGTGAGAGACAATAACTGACCTTAAATTACTAGATTTCTTAGTGCTTTGTTACAGTCATAGATGACCAAAAAAAGTTTTATAATAATAATTTTAAGCTACTATGTTTTGGGATGGTTTATTAAGTAGCCATAGATAACCACATTTGTTTCTTAGAAATTGATAGAGCAAGTAGTTAAGTTAATAAAGCCACAGAATATCTGAACAACATTATAGTAATTGACATTTATCCGAGGCAAAAAACATTCTTTTCGTGAGCCCATTGACTATTCACCAAGACAGGCCACATACTAAGCCATAAAACAAGATCGGGGCTCGAAATGTAAAAGCTACACCAATTAAACTAGAAGAAAACACAGAATATCTCAAGACCTTGGGATAGACAAATATTCCTTAAGCAAAACACCAAGAGCAATAACCATAAAGCAAAACCTGATAAAGAAGACTTCATCGAAGTTTAAAACTGCCCCTCAAAAGACACCAATAATAGGTAAGCCACAGACTAGGAGAAAATCATCACAAAATATATATCTATATCTCACAAAAGACTTAGAAGAATATATGAAGAACTCCTACAATTCAAAAATAAAAAGACAAACTACCCGATTAAAACATGAACAAAAGACTTTTACTTATCAGGGAAATGTAAATAGAATCACAATGAGATACCATTACACATACAAGAGAATGGTTAAAATTTAAGACTAACAATAACAAACGCTGATAACATTTGGAAATACTTGGCATTTCTTAAAAAGTTAAGCATATGTTTACTCTTCCTCTTCACCAACTCCACTTCTAGGTTATTTATCCGAGAGATGTAACATAGCTTCAAACAAGATTTGTATAAGAATGTTCATAGCAGTTTTATTCATGATAGCTCAAACTTGAAAACAAATTGTGGTATATTCATACGACTGAATATCATCAGCAATGAAAGGAACAAACTACTGACATCCGCAATAACATCGATGAATCCAAAAAAATATTATGCTAAGCAAAAGAAGCTAGACACATAGTCTATGACTCCATCTATGTGAAATACTAGAAAACAAGCAAAATTAATCTACAGTGACAGAATTTTAAAAGGTGGTTGCCCAGGAGAAGGAAGAATATGAGACTGGCTGAGAAGGGGCACTGGGAAACTTTCTTGGGTGATGAATATGTTCTATATCTTCCTGAGTGTAGTAGTACTGGTTACATGTTTATATGTACCTGTCAAAAGGAACTCAACTGCTTAAGAGATGTGCTTTTAAAAATTTTTTTATAAAACACATTCAGCAGCACTCTGGCAACTTTATTTTTCCATTTTTACCTGTAATGATACAATTAGTCAAACCTTGTCAAACTCCATACTATTCTAGTTTAGGTGGTACAATGACGTTCTTCTAGCTTTGTTCTGACTTCTTACCTTGTTAACTTCTGGTGTGAGGATCTCTATTTTTCTTAAACGTTGAAAAGCATCATAATCAGTTTCTCCAAACAGTCTGATTGGTTCTCCTCTTTCTCTCAATCTTCTGATAACCTATTTAAAAAAAAGAAAATCAAAAGACAGTAGTAATTCCTTATGTTATTAGTAATAGTAATTCCTATTTAGGTGACCAAACACTCATTTTGAAATGTCAATGCCAAAATGAAGTTGTTTTTTCTTTAATTTTCTATGAACAGATATACTGAGAGTTACTATCACACCTTAAATAACCCTAACAGTTTAGGTCCTCTGGCTGACTGTTTCAGGAAAGTACATAAGGAAAACATTAAGATGAAAGTGATGTTTATATAGAGACGATAAAGTCTAGAGTCAGCTGATAACTCAATGACCACAGTCTAGGTCAGCATTGCAATACCACATTTAAACCGAACACTTGTCCCTCAGAAGAGAAAGTGAGTTACGATCAGGTAGGGCACATACAGGGCTTTCCAGGGGCTGATAATACTCTTATTTCTTCACTCAGGTGATGGTTATACAGGTGTTTGTTTTGTAACTATCCATTACACATATGTATTCTATTCACTCTTTATATACATGTTATATTTCATAAAAAGGAGAAAAACATTATAATAAAAGTTGATCCAAATTTCCTTTAAAATACCAAGAACTTTACCTGGAAACATAAATAGTATCACACTTAGAAAATGCTGGTAGGGCTCCCAGTGGATTAACCGAAGCTTGGTATTAAAAAGAAATTTAAGAAGTAATCTATTGCTTTCTCCAATGAATGTAGAAATGACCTCAAAACCATATCTGTCAGGTCCCTATCTAATAAATGACAGAAATCACATCTCTTCATGAAATAGCCCATCCTAGTTCTAGACAGATGTTTTGCTTATTAAAATGAACTAAAATCTACCTCCCTCAAACTCTACCCGTCTATCTTAGTTCTACTTTATGAAACCACAGAGAATACTTTCTTTGTTTTTAATTAGAGCTGCTGTCAACAGTGTTTTTAAAGTCTCTAATATTCCTCTCTTCAGGCTAAGGATTCAATTCCTTCATCTAATTTTCACATGATAGCTTCTAGAGTCAGCCAGCCCTTCCTCTGAAAGTTTCCTTTGGTTCAAAGTTTATTTTTGTTTTGTACTCTTACGTACAGTTTGAATTCCTTATATCACATGGATATCTTAAATTTTCAGTGTTTTAGGAAATAATGTTGACCAGGGTATGGGCAAACACTACAGGTGAGAGCATAAACTGGAATATCTGTTATAGAGCCCTCTGGTAATATGTATCGAAAGTCTCAGAAGTATAATCTTAAATCTTTAGTATATAAACTCCAGAAATCATGTTTCTAGAAAATTTTCTTAAGGAAATAATCATACATTATGATGCCTGCAATGACGTCTATATAAAGACACTCATCTTAGTATGATTTATAACAGGGAAATGTTGAAATAATCTAAATAACCATTAATAAAGAATGGTTTTAAAAGTATTATGGGAAAATATAGTCATAAAAAATTACACAGATCTCTATTTTGATCTAGGAAGATGTACTGAGAAAGTTACAAAATAGCACATTATTTAAAATTATTTAGACAAATAATATACACATTTAAAACATGTTTAGTTCTTAAAGTTTAGAAGGATAGATTCTTTAAAAAGTTTAAGATAACAGTATCAAGAAAAGCAGATTAATTTAGAACTTCATGAAGAAAACTGACTAGCAGCACAGTATTTTAGTTCAAAAAGTCTTCTTATATGGGAACTAATGACGTAAAACTTCCTGGAAAGAACTGGAAATAAATGCAAATGCTGTGGGGTTTTCTTTTTGTCCCCATAAAACATTCTCTCTATATATAAACTTACCTCTTGCCTAGAAAGAGTCATGGGCAATTTCTCCTCTGCCAGTTCAAGTTCTAATACTGGGTTTGATGAAGTTAATGGTTTCTGGTCCTCATCTTTTGGCTGTATCTATATTAATAGCCAAAGAAACGAAATTCAGCATTTAAAATATAGTTAACATTTATCATTCTATTATATTAGCTACTCACAGAAGTTAAACACTTTTTAAATATTGAAGGTCTCCTAAATGTTCCTCTGAAAAGAGCTCATAATAAATGTACATCTTCTGAGAGCTTGTCACACTTGCCCGTTCCGGGGACAGCGCAAGGAGAAAGCATGCTCACCGGAAACGGCACTCTGGCTACTGAAGAGTGACGCAAGGGTAATGGTTTCCAAAATCAGAAGCAGAAAAGGTCTGAAATTTAGACTCATTGTTCCCCTGAACTCTAAAGAATTTTACTTTTTTTCCTAAAAACAATCGACTTGCTTCTCCTCATTTAGAGAGTCACTTTACAAGGTTATCTGATCCTTGCTCTGGGTTATTATAATGAAGGCCAAAGAAAACAACTGCTTTCTAACAGACACCGGTGAAGCCTGGAGCTCCAGCTTCTTCCTACTCTCCTTTTTGAAAGGTATTATTCCAAGCGCACAGAAACCACTGCTGGATGTGTAGAAAAACTCCCAGCGCCACAAAGAACTTGCCCACAAACGGAGCTAGGAACTCTGTGGGAACAATGAAAACAGCGCCTCTCTACTCATACCCAAGAAGAAAAGAGTGAGCATCCTTGTTAATATGAGCCTGAGGGGAAAACCTCTTCATACATTTTCTTGAGTCTGCTGCTCAATCAGTTTAGCAAAATTGAGTTCAGCAAATTTATAAGCCCCACTGTGTGATCTATAAAAAGATACCGAAACATGGGTTTCCCAACTGACCAGAAGACAAATTTAAAATGGCGAGAGAAGATCAAAAAAACATAAAAGACCAACATTAAGAAGAAAATTACCATTCAGCTAAAAAAAAGAAAAAAGCAATATGGTTAAAACTGTATAATACATGATTCCACAGTTTATGGTTAAAGGTTATATTTATCAGTGTTAATGGTACTAGCAGAAAATTGAGGTAAAAAACTAAACTTTCATATTTTCACAAACCAAATCAGCATCAAGCATTAAAAAAGATAACCAGTTTCTATAAGGAATGACAGTAATACATGCTATATTTTCATCACTACCAAGAAACCAAGAAGGAAATATTAAAAATGTTTTAGAAAGAAAAGCCTGTGCTTTCTTTCTAGCCATAACAACAGGTAATTTCTCCAAAAATCTCAAGATGAAAAGCATTTTTAATTACAGAATGGCAGTTAACAGCTTTAAGGAAAAGATCTAAGACATTTGGTCAGCTGGACTCAACATTACAAGCAATAACTTTACAGCAATAATTTTGCCTCCGTGCTTTCCTCTAAATAAGGAAGTATTGCCATATCACTGACGCAATCTAAGCAAAGCAAAACTGCCACTGTTTGAAGTTATTTTCCTACCTTATCAAAAAGTTGAAAGGTTCAAATTTAGAGATCTGGGAAAGCAACAAGTCAGCAGACTAAACTCAGGGTAAGTAATTCTTATTCCAAATCAAGTCTGAGTTACACAATGGTGGGCAAGCAAAAGATGAGAATTCTTCTTTCTGAGTATCTATTAGATGGTTATTTACACAAAACATATTTTATTTTCCTAAATTAGAAGCAAATGAAATCAATATATTTATGGAAAATATCAAAATACAAATATAAACTTCCGAAGTGTAGAAACCTATCAGAAATATAACATTTTTAAAGCCTGCCCTCTCCCAACACTATAAAATAAAACCAAATGCATATACATACCATTTGCATTCCTCATGCTTCCCTCTAGAAATGCTATGCCAGATAAACTAACTTTCAGAACTTTCTCCATGACATGCACAAGAGTATTATTTTATATTGATGTTTCACAAGCAAAAAGTGGATTTCAAATTTGTGATTTGGCCAAAGTATTTCATAAAGCCTCTGAACTTTGGTTTAAAAATTATTAAGCTAGATACAGTCTTTTAAAAATAATTTAAAGATAACTTCATCTCATAACCATTAATCCCTCCCAATAAAAACCCCATTATTCAACTAGGTTAATCTCAAAGATAATTTCAGTCATGCTTCTAATATACACAAAATCTTCCAGACAACTCATCTGTTTCTAACAAGTATTTCCAGATTACATTTTTTATCCAATAGACTGAGCAGTGTTTGAAACATGATTCCTATTACACAAAAGCATATAAATGTTATATGGCACTATCTCCAGGCAGAGGTACTTGGGGCCAAAAGGAATTATTAACTATGCGAACATAAAAACAATGGCTTAAAATATTCAGGAGAAAGCAGAGAAAATACCAGTTAATATCACTGTTGCTGAACGAATAAAATGTTTTAAACCTTTTAAAAACAGACTTTTATTGGGAGAGGTGGGGAGAGGGGTGGCGGTGGCGATGCAAATGAGGCAGCATCGGATCCGGGACTTAAGTTTACAAAAATCAAGCTTTGATCTCAAGCCACTTCATGCTGTCCACAAAAAGCCAAACCATTCCAAGCCAAAAGTCATGCACGTATTTTCCTGAATTCAAGATTTAAAAAAGGAAAGGAAAAATAAAAACAAAATCTCATACCTCTCCAGATGGCTTCTCATTTACAGGCTAATGTATAATATTGATAAATTGAACAGAGATCAATAATTTTGTCACTTTAACAACAGCTGTATAAATTTAAACTCAGAAATATACGATTTAACCTAAAAACAGACATCCATACCTTGTAGCCACATCTTTCATAATATGCTTCCTCTTCTTTTTTTGCAAGTTCACTACGCTTGAAATATTTTTTATTTTCCTGTTGAAGATAGAAATAAGTTAATAATATGCCTAGGGGAAAAGTTTGTGTCCCGTAGTCAACAACATGAAAACACTCTTCAGTTTTTCAGGAAATTAGTAATGTCTTTTGGTTTGAGGGAGTTTACTTCCTGAACATGCAATGCCTCTGTTCTCCACCCCTAAATACAAAATACATACTTTTCTTGCAGGCATATCCAACAGCAAAGAGTAGAAGCCAAACATTATTTTCCAAAGATTCACACTGTTTTAATTTCCCCATGTTTAAGTTCAACGATATACTCTACAAATGGTTTCATTGTGAACCATATAAAATAAGACGCTTTAATTATTTTCTAATAGAAACAATCAAAAACTACAGTATTTGCAGCTAACATCTTAAATCTCATTACCAAGAGAGCTCCAAAGATGTATCCAAATTCTTTTTGTCATATGGAATCTTATTGTATTTGTATTAGTAAATTCTTAAAATAATCGAGACAAAATAGTTTTGAGAGTCTTTTTATTAAAAAGATGCTTTAAAGGCATTTGTTTTAATATGGTTAGATGTTACGAGACAAGCTCTAAATCTACTGTGGCAGAAAAAAAACATTAGTTCTTTCCATACTATATATAACTTTATTCTAGCTGTTAACTCTATAGTTCCTAATCTGGAGGCTTGTTACTATTTTACAGCTCTTCTTCTTAGATATTATTCCACTGATGACTTTGCTCAAATAAATATACTACCTTCCTTTATCAGTAGTAATTATAACAGTACCTTAATATCGCTTCCACTCAGGTATTCAGCACCTCATAGTTCCAAAGCTCATTCACTCAGGCAATGATCATCAGTGGATGTTAAGACCACTAACAGGAAAGGCTGATGGTGAACAATGGAAAGCCCAGGCTGCCAACACTTTGAACCCACTGACTGAACCTGGCATCAAGAAAACATTATGCACCTCCTCTGTTACACACGGGAAGTACTCAGCACCATCTATAAAGAGTATTCTTGCCAAAAAACTAAATATGAATCTAACTGAACATTTAGCTCTAATTTCCAGTTTAGCAGAAATGTAGGGAATAGAGGAATAAACTAAACAATACCACAAGGAAACGATCAAACACTGGGAAGTTTTACAATGCTAGCCCGTTTCTCCAACAAGTTAATGACATTAAAAAAAGGAAGGAGCTGGAAAAATGAAATTGTTCTTGATTAAAAGAAACCAAGAGTCATAACAAACATTTACAATGAGCAGACTTTGTGTGGGTCTGATGTGAACAAAACAAATGTAAAAATATATATGTATAGACTGTAATTCAATTGGAGATATTTGAATGTGAGGGGAGTATCTGATGATATTAAGGACCTAATTTTAATTTTGTAGGGTGCCATCATATTTTGCTTATATAAAAAGATGTTCTTATTTTCTAGTGACAAATGTATTAGTGGAAAGGTAGAGAGTGGTACATTTCACAATTCTATTTTTTCCTATGTTTAAAACTTTCATAAAGAGTTTTTTTAAAAGCTCATTAACTCAATATACATTTACTGACTTATCTACCATACAACAAGCACAGCTTTACAGATGTAAAAATGACGAAGATATTACTTGGAGTAAGGAATGATGGTATCTGAGTATCAAAACTACCCTGAGAAAAGTGAGGGCAAATCACATTAATCCCATTCTAGATGTGAGAAACCTGAGAATGAGAAAGGCTGGGTGACACCCCCAGAACTCAGTAAACCTCATGAGTAACCGCGGCACGACCAGAACTCTGGTCCTTAATACTGTCTAGCATTCCAAGCTACAGTGCTCACTTCCGAAATGCTACTTCAGCATCATAAATTGCTCCTTTTGACTATGTAGCATGTAATTGTCATATTTCAAATAAATAAGCGGACAAACACATATGGTATCCTCTAAGAGCAGGTATATAGGAAGAAAGTAAAAGGATTCTCCAGGCCAGAGTCCATGGTTCAACTTTGTAACTATGATATCTTTTACTACCACATGTCTCAATTCCACTGAACACACCTAACAAAATCGTAAGCCTAGAACATCAATTCTTGAAATGTGGTTTATAGACTTCTGGGGGTCCTTTAGACCTTTTCAGAGGTTCTGCAAGGTCAAATTTATTCTTATAAAATGCTGAGACATTAGGTGGCCCTTTTTCACTGTGCACACACTTGCACTGATGGTAGTAAAGCAATGGCAAGGAAAACTACTGGAATCTTAGCGCAAATAAAGGCTAATACCTTATTTAGGTAGCAGTGGCCATTGTACTCCTCACCACTGCGCACTTGCCGATAAAGAGGCCAGTTTCCCTTGTGTTTTGATAAACTGCAATTTTACTAAGTCTCAACGCTTTAGTACCTAGCCTTTAAATATTTGGCATAATGAAATGAAACATACAAAGCGCTTCTGTTGCATAATGAAGTGGGATAGCTGTTTCAAAGAAAAACACTTGTGCAACTGTTTGATTACTGACTAGCAAATCTCGCAGACATTTTCTCAAACCTGAACAAAGCAAGCTTGTCACTTCAAGGAAAACAACAACAGTATTTATCACCTATAGTAAAATTCTATCTTTCAAGCGAAAATTAAAATGGTGGAAAACATGCATCCATCACTGTGAACTTGACGGTTTCCCAACACTTAAAGGCTTTTCTAATTAACTAGGGGGGATAAAGAATGTGATTTTTTTTTTTGCATTGTCTAATTTTTTTATATTAGAGATGTCTAATGAAACACATCTACATTTGCAAGAGCTGCATAACTCAGCAAACCATGTTAGATGTTACAAAATCACACATAAGCAGAAGATCTCAGAAGATTTATGAGAATAGATCAGAATAGATGGAGAGAAGAATATATCAGCGGATTCTGAACACAAAAAGTTCATTGCTACGGGTCATAATCCAAACTCTTAACTTACCATTTGTCTACTTCTGTTGTAGTATCAAAGAAGAACCACAATTATCTGAAAAGGCTATTAAAATACTCTTTTCCAATGACCTATCTGTATGAGGACAAATTTTAATCATATAATTGAACAAAAACAACGTACTGCAACAGGCTGAACGGAAAAACACACAGGAGAATCCAACTATCTTCTAAAATGCCAGAGGTTAAAGAGATCTGCAGAAATGTCAAACATACCACTCTTCTAAATTTCTTTTGTTTTGGAAAATAGAGTGTTTTCATAAAAATGTATGATTTATGTTCTTATGATGGATTTCTATTGTATTTCTACATGGCCTATAAACAAACATTTTTATATTTTCCAGTTTTAATGTCTGATAACAGTCATTACCAATAAATACACTCTACATAAACAAAAGCTCTCTGGAGGTATCAATAGAAAGTACATAAAGGGGTCCTGAGAACAGTGAGACCACTGCCCCAGAAGAATACCCCCTCCCCCGCTGGCATTCCACATGCCCGCACGGAGCATGCTAAGCAAGCTGGGAACCTACTTGGGCCTCAGTGCTGCCCACCGACCCTGGTGTACTTACCCATCCAGTTTTCTCTATTGTCTACATTGATCATTACCCATTCTCCATTCTCTCAAACTTCTCCCTTCATTTCTCTCCTCATTTTCAACAAATGACTAAGTCACTCTACAGAGAAATGGGATGTCATCAAACGTCATCAAACAAGAACTTCTCCAAATTGCTCCCAGCACCAGTCCCTTCCTGGATCTGCATCAATCCCTTCTTCCTTTCAGAATGGAGGAGGAGGCCCTCCCCCAGTCTACGGCCAGTCCCTTCCAGCTGTATTCCAGGGAGCAATTCCTCCTGCCTTTCTCAGGGATGTCTAATCTAATCAATTGTCTATCTTCTCTTCTGCATCTTCACCTTTTCCTTTTCTACCGGCATGAGAGCATCATCACTTAAAAATGCTCAAGACTTCGCAACTTTAAGGAAAACTTCTCTACTCTTTGCTGGGTATCATGCTATGTACCATTTACAGCAGAACTACACTAAAATGTTTCTCTGCTCTCTCTCTCCATTTCCTCATCTCCAATTCTCTTTGCAGCCAGCCAACAATTGGGTCTCCCATTTTGGATATTTCTCTTCAAGACATGGGAAAGAAAAAATAAACAAATGAGACTTCATCAAACAAAAGAGTTTTTTGCATAGTGAAAGGAACCATCAACAAAAATAAAACCTACTGAATGGGAAAAGATACTCACCAATGATACATCCAATAAAGAGTTAATAGCCAATATACGGAAGGCACTCATACAATTTAACACCAAAACACAATCCAATTAAAATATGAGCAGAGGACCTGAACAGATATTTCTCCAAAGAGGACCTATGGATGGCCAAGAGACATACGAAAAGATGCTCAACATCACTAGTCACCGTGGAAATGCAAATTAAAACCACAATGAACTATTACCTCACACCTGTGAGAATGGCTATCATCGATAAATAAACAAACAAAAGGGAATCCTCACACACTGATGGTGCAGTTATAAACTGGTGCAACCATTATGGAAAACAGTTTGGAGGTTCCTCAAAAAATTAAAAATACAACTACCATATAACCCAGCAGTTCCACTTCTGGATATTAATCCAAAGAAAAACACTAATTCAAAAAGGTATATGCACTCCTGTGTTTGCTGCAGGATTATTTACTAAGATATGGAAGCAAACTAAGTGTCCACTGATAGACAAATGGATAAAGATGTGGTACATATAATAAAGTGGCATATTACTGAGCCATAAAAAAAGAATGAAATCTTGCCATCTGTGACACCATAGATAGACTTTGAGGGTATTATGTTCAATGAAACATATCAGAGAGAGAAAAATACCAAATGATTTCATTTACATGTGGAATCTAAAAAACAAAATAAATGAAATAAAACAAATAAACTTATAAAGATCATTTTGATGGTTGCCAGATTTGGGGTGGGGGGTGAAAAAGAGGAAAGGATTAAAATGTACAAATTGCCAGTTATAAAAAGTCAATGAGAATAAAATACCTAGGAATAAATCTAACG